GACTTTTTCAGACTTGCCTGTTTATTTGAGAAGTTTATAACATATGGGTTACACTGTACTTCAAGGGGTGTTCATAAGAATGTCATGACACCTTTATAATCATGACGTGACGCAAGACATGCTTATGACGACTGTCATTATGTGATATTCACTCAGTTATGTCATTTTAAGTGCAAAATGGCATTGTTTGAGATGTCATTGTTATGACAACCTGACATAAACAAATACATTATAAACATTACAGACTCTAGTTTAATGATATAGGCACAAAGTCTAAAGCGCATGACACAAAAGCATTAAGGGCATGTCCAAATCCACTTTTGCTATTTTAAGGACGAAAAATATGCTCTGCGCTGATGCATGGTCTAACAGGGTTGTGCTTATTCTCTTAATGAGATATGGGTGTGTTTTCATGCATTAAACCATTAAACCAACCAGAGTCTCATCATCCATTCCTTTTAAGAGGCACATTTGCTATTTACATGGTGGAATTTGTATGTCGAAAAACTGAACGCTTTACAAGCAAGAAACCAGTAAAACAGACCATCTGCAGAGTAAGGATAAAGAACGAGCCTCCTCCATTCGGCCTCTTTACGTTCTCTTTACTTTACTTTTACTCTTTACTCCTTTACTTTTGTGGATAAGGAAATGGTGGAAACTCACTCCACTGAAGAAATCCATCAGCCTACATGTTGAGTTTGTTTAGCACAAAAACTATTATTTGTTACAAAGCTTCGAGCAAACAAATAAATAACAATAATAACAAAGTGTGGTCAAAAACGGAGTTATATCCAAACACACATCCTGTTCTTATGCCCCATATGGTGATGCATACCTCCAAAACCAACAGGTGGACAAATCGAAACTTGTTTCTATTATAAAACAATATATAAATACGCAAATAATAAATAATACTAGTAATAATAATAACATTATACTAATGCAATTTGTCATTAGTAAACTGAAAAAAGGCATGAAGGTACAGCTTTTTTATATTTATTTAGAAAATAATAATTTTTGGTAACTTTTTAATCCTTTTTTCATTTGTAAAGATATTTGTGTGTGTATTAAGCCTTTGAACCCACATAGGCGCATAACTAACGTACTCTGCGCTGGACTTTAGAGCAACGTTTAGTTGGTCAATTGCACAGTCTATTTCAGTTTCTCAAAATAGCAACGTGCCAACAGTGTACCTTAACACACCTCCTTTTTAGGCTGGCACACCCATGAGTCCACAAAGTGGTATAAATTGATTTGCTATTTAAACAACGTGGTGCAAAATGTGAAAACCATTTGCGTTGACGGTTGACACTTGCGTTGGTCTGACAATAGCAACAAATCGTGATGGACACATCTTGCACTTAATTGCACCGGATGTATGATAGGGCCCTCTATGTAACGTAACTGACATGAGCGCATTGTAATTGTTTCATGAATATTTTTCAGTATTTTTTCATTTAAAGTGTCAATCCTGTCAAATAATATAACATTATTATAACATTATAACAGTTATAATAATAATAGTTAACTATTAATATCATGACTATTATATAATTATAATAGTTAAAGTGTACCACTGTTAGTGAAATATTAATGCTGCTGTAAAATTCATGACACAATTAAAATGCCCTTGTGACGATCATGTTTATGACAGATTTATGACAAGATATGTTGTTTTGGTGATGTCAAGTTGGACAAGACTGTATTTGTTTATGCCAAGTTATCATATCTGTAATGTGATGAGGACACTGACAACGGAGGTGCGGATCCAAATGCAGGTCTATTACACAGAGATGGTCAGGCAAGCAACGATCAACACGGGCAAACAGATGTATACTAGGAATCCATAGTCATGATCAAATAACAGGCAAGTGGTCAGTCCCGACAGCAAACAATGTAAACAATAATCAAACAAAGCAAAGATTGGTACACGGCAAGACAAAGGAAGGAAAACGATGTAATGTTTACAAAACAGTTAAACAAGACTCAGCCAATATGTGTGTGTGCGCGCTGTATTTAAAGTCCTTGTTATCAGTCCATGATGATCCTCCGGCTGTGTGTGTGTGTTTAATCAAAATGAAACCGATGTGAAGTGCATGACGGAATTTGTTGTTCATGTAATGGTGGATTTGTAGGTAGTTAGTGTACTGCAACCATAACAATATCAAAGACATCTCAAACAGTAAAACGATATAACTGAGCTAATGACAATTAATAACATTTTTAAACACTCCTTCAAGTAAACTGTTACCCTTTACACATGATTTATTTGTAATATGACTCTTTTGTAACATAAAAATGTCTTTTATTGTCACCTCAGTGTCACAATTTCTGACTAAATAACTGTTTGTAACTGTTTTTAATATATATTTAAAAATAAAATCTATATTTAAAGATGTTATTTGAAATAATCATGCATGCTTCACAATCTAATATACATGCAAATAACAATGTATGTATTGAAATGAAGTGGCATGGTTGCGTCACAGCAAGAAGGTTGCTGTTTCGATTCCCAGCTGGGCCAGTTGGCATTTCTGTGTGGAGTTTGCATGTTCTCTAGGTTTTCATTTGTGTGCTCTGGTTTCCCTTACAGTCCAAAGACATGCGCTATAGGTGAATTGAAGAAACTAAATTGGCGGTAGTGTATGAGTGTGTGTGAATGAGAGTGTATGGGTGTTTCCCAGTACTGAGTTGCAGCTGGAATGACATCCGCTGCGTAAAAACATGCTGGAATAGTTGGCGGTTCATTCCACTGTGGCGACCTCTGAAATAGAGACTAAGCCGAAGGAAATGAATGAATGTATTGAAATAAAGGTCTGGTTTTATGTTGTTCGTCTCCTAGCTACTTGATTTTAGTGCACAGGTCCATTTTAATTCATGTTATCATCCATCCTGTGAAGACTTACCAGCTGAAAGCAAGAAAACGAGATGATATTTACTGAAGGCGAAAGGTTTAATAGTGTAATATAATCAGTGCTGCAGCTTCAGTCCATGCATATCTGATGTTCCAGCAGAACCGTCAAGCCGTATAACATATAAAGTTACAATAGTTGATTATGAAGAGCCAGCCAGTTCCTGAATAATAATATTGCTTCATTAACTTCCTATTTGTTTTCCTTCAAGAGCGAATGAAACTGCACCAACCCATTTTAAACAGCCATAGCCTTGGTATCGTTCATCAGACGGCCGTTTGAGGCCACGAACCAGACGAGATCTACGTCATACACGTCTTTGAGTATAAATAAAGGCGGATTTGCAGAACACAATGTCCGATTTCTCAGTAACCGAAGCTCTTCATTAGATCATTTGGTTTCTAGGCTGGTAATATTAGTTATAGAAGCAGGAGAGAGGGTTTAAATGGGACTTGGTGTCTCGAATATACTACCTCAATATAAAGCACATGTTTCCAATCTCTGCAGACACATTGATATGCTTATAATCTTGCTTGATCTTCTATAAGCGGCTTAACGGGGAAAATTGGGCGATTTCATTCTTAAATCCTGTTTTTAAAAGGAGCGATTATTATTACACTGCTTTTATAAAGCATAAACTGGTTTCATAGAATTATTATTTTTTTCCTTAAGATGACCTGAGAATGAACTGTGTGGCTTATATGTACACATTTATTTATTCAAAAAGCACATCATATCGGTTTTCAAGAAATAAAATCTATTATTTTGCAATTACTTCGCATTTTTTAATCAGAAAAGTGCATAATAAATACATTATTTTTAATCACTTTAACCTTAAAGAGTCATTATATTTTCCTTCTACTGACATATTTGTGGGCAGCACAGTGACCTCACAGCAAGGGGTCAGTTGGCATTTCTCTATGGAGTTTGCATGTTCTCCCTGCAATTGCGTGGGTTTCCTCAAGGTGCTCGGGTTTCCCCAAGTTTAAAAACATGTGGTATAGGTGAATTGGGTTAGCTAAATTGTTTATGGATGATTCCCAGTGATGGGTAGCAGCTGGAAGGGCAACCGCTGCGTAAAACATGTGCTGGATAAGTTGGCGGTTCATTCCGCTGTGGCGACCCAAGATTAATAAAGGGACTAAGCCAAAAAAAACAAAAAAAAAAAAACGAACGAACGAATGAATAAATTAATGAATAAATGAGATATTTGTATGATCTCCACCTGCCCATGAAATAGGAATGCTCTGAAATGGGCATTTTCGACATAGATTAGACTCAGAAAGACTTAATAAAACCCACTGTAAAAAAATGAAGTCTGTAGAATAAAAAAAAATAATCCTTATTTCCTTTGGCTTTTTCTTTTTCGCTCATCTTTTGAAAACATCAGCTACACTAATATAAAATTATTTGTCAGTAAAGTAAAAAACATGCAGTTGGGTTAACATAAAACGATTAGTTTTCTGGAGAGATGAACTACAAAAGTTGTGCCAACTGAACGTTTTTTGTCTGCAGAACTGGAATGCATGAAGTTGAGTGAACAAAAAGAAAAAACATAATCATTATTTCCTTTTGTTTTTCCTCATGTATTCAACTTTTTTTTTCACCTTTATTTGATTCGGACAGTAGAAAGTATAGAGCATAGGGAGATGAGATTGGGGAAGGATCGGCGTAGGACCTTGAGGCGGTAATCAAACACGGGTCGCCATGAATACTGTATTTTTATAAGTGCCATGTGTCGACGCGCTAACCACTACACTGTTGGTGCTGACGTGTACCCAAAACCTAAAAGGGACATATTTTGACCTGAAGTTCCACATACTCACACTCTAGGACCATCAGAAACTTTTTTATATCTTGTAAAAAGAAGCATAATAGGTTTCCTTTGAGCCCTGAATTGAAAAAAAATAACAATGTATTCTGACCTCAGATGCATTTAAACCTGTTAGGGGGCTATACAACACACACAACATTAGGAAACTTTTAAATATATGATGTACTGTATAATAGCTCAAATATGTGTTGCCAGTTATTCATAAATGATCGTAGTTCATAAATGCCTTCTGTTTTGTATTCTCATTGTTGTAGAAATCCTGAATGGAGGTGTGTATGTGGATCAGAATAAGTTCTTGTGTCATGCGGACACCATCCACTGGCAGGACATCATCAAAAACCCTCGATCTGAACTTCTGGTTGTGCCGTCGAACAATAGTGGGAACACATGTGAGTTTTTACATGATTTTCTATGCGTGTCTTCTTTCAAAAACTGCATTTAGATGGATGCCAAGGGAGTTCTACTACAATGTTCCAGATACTTCAGATAGGTAGGATGTTTTTGAATAAGTCCTTTTATGAGCAAAGTGACAAAACCAGTAATATCATAGACATATTATTATTATCATTATTTATTTTACTATATATATATATATATATATATATATATATATATATATATATATATATATATATATATATATATATACATACACAATGATCAATTTTATTTATCATTAATTATGTGTCAAAGAATGCTGCGAAAAGAAACATCACAGAATCTGATCATCATCATCATCATCATCATCAGAAAGAAAGAAAGAAAGAAAGAAAGAAAGAAAGAAAGAAAGAAAGAAAGAAAGAAAGAAATCTGGAATGGCATTACATACACACACACACAAGTGTATATAGTCAATTTATATATATATATTATATTTGCATTTATATTTATTAATTAAGACAAATTAATCTGATCAAAAGTGACAGTAAATACCTGAAAACTGTTATAAAGGACTTTAAATCTTTATTGTTACTTTTAAATGAATTATTCTGTCTTAAATAAATTAAGATATTAGATAATATAAGCAAATATAAGTTATAACACTTTTTTTTTATTTCTCTTATATTTGTGCGCGTGTGTATTTGTGTGTGTGTGTGTGTGTGTGTGTGTGTGTGTGTGTGTGTGTGTGTGTGTGTGTGTGTGTGTGTGTGTGTGTGTGTGTGTGTGTGTGTGTGTGTTTGTGTGTGTGTGTGACTCTGACTATTGTTTTAATAAGAAACATTTTTCCATGCAATGCTGAATTACTAAAATAAATGTTTCAAATAGGCCATATGCTATTATTAACAGTTTGTAAAGTTTCCAAGTTTTTATTTTTTTATTTTCCAACCACTTGAAAATTGCAGAATGTCTTCAATTTAATCAAGTGAAGTGATGTTGTTGCTCAGAGTCCCACTCAAACACTCTCTCTCGGTAATTACAAAACAGTCAATTAAGTCTAATCGGTGACAAAACTCAGTGGGAGCGCTGTTTGAGACAAATCCCACAGCTCACTGGAGTGGTGTTGTTGTTAAGGATTAAAGTTGGGATGTTTTCCACAGGCAGAAGGTGCCATCGCTCCTGTAACGGCCGCTGCTGGGGTCCTCAGGAGGATCAGTGCCAGAGCTGTGAGTCTGCACACAGTTTCATTTAGTGACACAACAACATACAAACATGGACAAGTACAAAATATTATTAAAGCATGCACTGTGATGTGACTTTTTACACTTTCTCTGTATAATTATGAGCAAAACAACTTGTTATATTGCTTAGCTTTCGTCGTCTTCTGTCATTGAGTCTATAACAGTCCGTGGAACTACACTGTTCATTCTTCTTTTTCTATAGCGCTTTCATACACTCTAAAAAAAAATTTATGGTTAAAAATATTTGGTGCTTTGATTATTTTTAACCTTTATTGAGGTATTTATTAATAATTCAAGCAGTTGGGTTAAAGATTTTGTGCTTTGTTGGGTTATTTTATATGATTATATGCGCCACAGCCATATCACAACTCAACCAGTTGGGTTAGAAAATTTTAATTTCCACAGTCAACTGATTTAACTGACACAGATCAGTGTTAATATGCTTTGTTTTTGTATTGTAAGGTTTATTTAAGCTCTAACGCTATAATATTGTTATACTTTTTTTTTTATATTTTATTTTATTTTATAACTTTGTTTATAACTATGTTTTTTTTTTATATATACGTTTGACTAGTACTCTTAATTATTAATGATACAAATGCTCTTCATAGCTGATCTATATTAAACAGATAAAAACCCTTAAGTGTCTGGAACTTAAAATGTAATGAAAATAAAGCATTTTCAATATTAAAAAAAACTGCATGTTATTCATTTACACAGCCATAATATAAAATTAATAGTACATAGCAATAACAGAATGGGAAAAAATACATTTAATCAAAATAACCCAATGCATTGGGTTAAAATTACATAACCCATTGCATTGAGTTAAAAAAAAACATAGTTGGAAAGCTGCTATAATACCCTATAGTTGGGTTATATGTTGGGGTATTTTTAACCCAACTATTTTAGCAGAGTAATGTAGATTATGTCAAAGCAGCATAACATAGAAGTTCTAGTGAATTGAAACTATGTCAGTCCAGTTTACAGAGTTGAAGTTCAGTTTAGTTCAGTTCAGTGTGGTTTTATTTTCACTGCTGAAAGTTCGAACACTGAAGAGCAAATCCATCGATGCGCACCTCCACAAGTCCCAAGCCAAGCAAGCCAGTGGTGACAGTGGCGAGGAACAAACTTCCCAATTGACGAAAGTCTCATCTAGACTATCCAGAAAACCACAAATCACTGTTTGTTTTACTTTTTTCTTTGCTCCATTGTAATTAATTGCTACTCTGTTAAAATAGTTGGGTTAACAATACTTCATCATAAAACCCATCTATAGGAAATTGTAGCACCTTCCCAACTATGGATTATTTTAACCCTATGCAATGGGTTATATAATTTTAACCCAATGCAATTGGTTATATAATTTTAACCCAATGCATTGGGTTATTTTGATTAAATGTTAAACAATGAAGAAACAGAATAAAGCACAGACAGTTATAAGCAGAAAATCCTCTGTTGATGGAGCAGAATATGGAGCTCTGTTTTCTGTAGATGCTGTCCAGTAGCTGCAGCAGGCTTCACTCAGTGTACACAGAGTGCAATACATTTACGCTTCTATAAGATGGTCATGGATGGTGAAACGAATATAAAAAACATGACACTGTGAGGTAATTTGATGAAAAAAAAAAAACAATATTATTGCGTTATAGCTTAAATAAACTTTATAGCGCAAAAGCAATATCACGCATATTAATACAGCTGTTTTGTGTCAGTTAAAGCAAATAACTGTTGAAATTAAATTTTTAACCCAACTGGTTAAGTTGTTTAATAAATAACCCAATAAAGGGTAAAAATAACCCAACAAAACACCAAATGTTTAACTCACCTGGTTGAGTTAATAATAAATAACCTAACAAAGGTTAAAATAACCCAACAAAGCATAAGCAAAGCTTATATAAATTATTGCGTTAGAGCTTAAATATACTTTACAATAAAAAACATTGCATATTAATACTGTGTCAGTTAAATCAGTTGACTGTTGAAATTCAAATTTTTAACCCAACTGGTTGTTATTAAATAACTAAATCCAATAATGGTTAAAAATAGCCCAACAAAGCACCAAATATTTAACCCAAATGGTTGAGTTGTTAATAAATATCCCAAAAAATAATCAAAGCACCAAATATTTTTAACTTAACCATTGGGTTAAATAAATAACTCAACATTTTTTTAAAAAGTGTAAGTACTTTTTGTATACATTACTCGCACCCTTACAAAATCCCCTCAATTAATCTAAATTAATGATTTTTTTTGTTTGTTTTTTAAATAGAGCTTTTCCAGCCATCTGTTAAAAATGTTCTCATATCCCAATATATTGCAGAAAAACAAAATCATACTTAATACTTCTAGTTATACAGCCCTACTTATAGTTACTGAATAAAGAAATGCATATATTTCAGACTAAATGCATTCTGTATGTTATGTTAAAATTCTGTACGGCACCTTGAGTGAGGCTCTTGTGAACTGGTTGATCTTCATGTGGCACAACCTGTGGTGATGTGCTCTGTGTGGGTGGCAAACACAAAAAAGAGGGACGGCAGGGATGGCAGGTTCAGTTTTCACCACATAATTAGCTATAATTAAAGAGGATCCAGAACCATAGAGTGTCACCACTGATCAGGGGTTGCACAGTTTCTCTGACAAATAATAGATTTAAGGTTTTTGCTCTGTCCTGCTGACTTTTGACATAGTTACAGAGAAGTAAAGTTATAAAGTGAGCGGATAAATATGAGCGGAGGGCTTCACTATTGTGTTTGTTATTACAGTGACGAAGACGGTGTGTGCGGAGCAGTGTGACGGTCGATGTTTTGGACCGTATGTCAGTAACTGCTGTCACCGTGAATGTGCAGGGGGCTGTTTCGGACCCAAAGACACAGACTGCTTTGTACGTCATCTTTCTTTCATTTATGATTGTAAAATGTTGGGGTAATTATCTTCCTTTTTTTAACTTGTTCGAAATAAACTCACCGGCCACTTTATTAGGTACACCTGTCCAACTAATTGTTAACGCAAATTTCTACTCAGCCGATCACATGGCAGCAACGCAATGCATTTAGGCATGTAGACATGGTCAACACAATCTGCTGTAGTTCAAACTGAGCATCAGAATGGGAAAGAAAGATTATTTTAGTCACTTTGAACATGGCATGGTTGTTGGTGCCAGATGGGCTGGTCTGAGTATTTCAGAAACTGCTAATCTACTGGGATTTTCACGCACAACCATCTCTCAAAATATCCAGTGAGTGGAAGTTCTGTGGGCACAAATGCCTTGTTGATGCCAGGGGTCCAAGTAGAATTGTTCGAGCTGATAGAAACGCAACAGTAACTCTAATAACCACTCATTACAACTAAGGTATATAGAAGAGCATCTCTGAACGCACAACAAGTCCAACCTTGAGGGGGGTGGGCTACAGCAGCAGAAGACCGCACCGGGCTTATTATAGTGATTATAGTCATGTTTTATCCGTCAAACCTGAGCTCATGTGACTGTTTTCTGTTTTCAGGCTTGCACCAACTTTAATGACAGTGGTGCCTGCGTGACTCAATGTCCTCAACCATTCGTCTACAATCCAACGACCTTCCAGCTCGAGCACAATCCCAATGCCAAATACACCTATGGAGCTTTCTGTGTCAAGAAATGCCCACGTGAGTTGCACTAAATAAACAAATTAATAAATAACATTGTAAAATATAGTGGAAGTTTTCTTATGTTGTAATATTTCGCAGTATTACTGTTTTACTATATATTTGAATATGTAAATGCAGACTTGGTCAACATAAGAGAATTATACAAGAGCAATGGTAAGGTGGATAGATAGATAGATAGATAGATAGATGGATGGATGGATGGATGGATGGATAGATAGATAGATAGATAGATAGATAGATAGATAGATAGATAGATAGATAGATAGATGGATAGATGGATGAATTGATGGATGTACAAATAGACAGACAGACAGACAGACAGACAGACAGACAGACAGACAGACAGACAGACAGATGATGGATGGATCGATAGATAGATAAATTGAGGGATGTACAGACAGGCAGACAGACAGAGAAATAGATGGATAGGTGATGGATGAATGGATGTACATACAGAAGGAATTATAGATGGATGGGTGGACAGAGAGATGGATGGGGGGATGGATGGACTGATGTACAGACAGACATTAAGAGTGAAATGATTGATGAATGGATGCATGGATGGACGGAAAGACAGACAGACAGACAGATAAACAGACAGAAGGATAGACGGCTGGATGAATAGACAATAGAGCTAAAGATCAAAAGTCAAAGACCAAAATCACCCTAGCAGCTGCTTCATAGCAACACTGCAACAACAATTAGAATACCCAAGTAACCACACTGCAACATCCTAACAACTATCTGCAGTCATCCACAATACCCCAGCAACTGCCTAGCTAGTGAAATTCTGCAAATTACAACATTAAAAAAGTTCATGTGTATTTCTTTTTTCAACAGACTTACTTTCCACAGACAGTGTTATATGTTGGCCGGTCTTATTTTCTCCGTTCTTGTCATTCACAGCTTGCACGTAGTATCGTCCAGCATCTGGGGCCACGGTGGACAG